ATCGGAGCAACCTCACCGGGTTAGCCACCCCGGGTCCTCTGACATTGATTCTTTGTAGGTCTCTAAAGAACTACGAAGCTCAACAATCAATCCAGCTCGCCACCAGGCAGCTCGGCTCTCTGGTCAGCTTGACAACTAATATGTAGCTAGGCCCTCTGGTAAGCTCGACACCTAATAGGCAGCTCGACACTCTGGTAAGCTCGTCACCTAACCTGCCTAGCTCAGCCCAATCAGCTCGTCACGTAACCTGCCTAGCTCGGCCCAGTCAGTTCGGCACCTAACCTGCCCAGCTCGACCCAATTAACTCAGCACATAATATGCCCCTAGCTCGGCCTGGTCAGCTCGGCATCCAGATCCTCATCCAGCAAAAGTTCACTTCGGCCTCTGAGTCATCGACCACTTAGAAGTAGACCAAATGATGAGGTACTTAGCACAAAAAATTGATTCATCAATTGGCGCCGTCTGTGGGAAACGCTACAAAAAGCTAAGCTCTCATCCTCCGAAAGGCTAAGTCCTCTTCTTCTAGAAAGCTAAGTTCTCACCTTTTAGAAATTAAAAGCTCTCACTTTCTAGTTTCCATTTTTTATGAACTCAAAGACTATGCAGGAAGTTGATGGCCAACAGACTAAGCAGCTCTACCAACTTTATTTCAACTCAGATAAAGCCTCATCAGTCCTCTTCGCGAGGTACCCTCTACAAAGATGAGCTCTTCGTGGCTTCCGCGGGAGTAGGCAGCCAACAGACTGCATGGATGCCCCTGCCGGTCGAGCTTTCCAAGGCTCCCGTACAAGTTGGTGACCTAAAGTCAATAGTGCTGCCCCCGTAGGTCGAGCTCCTAGTAGCTTCTTGTAGGAGTGGGTAACTGACGTCACTAATGAGGCTAATGCAGTGCAGCCGTAACTCTAAGGTGTCGAGCTGATAAAAGACCTTGGCACCACATAAGACCTAGTCGCCTCTTTGGCATGGGCAAAATCAAATATCAAGGAGAGTGGATTACGAGTCGCTCCCAGAGCGTAAGGGCTAAAGTGCTGAACTGGCAAAGACTTCGGCACCACATAAGACCCAGTCGCCTCTTCGGCATGGGCAAAATCAAGGGTAAGGAGAATGGACTGCGAGTCGCTTCCAGAGCCTAAGGAATTGAATCGATGCTTACGAGCTCATCGAATTAGTCATTTCATGCCAAAAGGAGCAATCTACTCCCTTCGCCGAGTTACTTTCATCTCGGGAGTGGAGGGCAAATGATGAGGGCGGATTTGGCCCTCCAATGATATGGTGACACATGGCACCTCGGAACAACTAGGTGACACCCGAAACCACTTTAGCAACAACTTGCCTTAGCCAAGTTGATGGTGTCCCACCTGGCGGCCTGGCCCAGGCGCAACCAGGCGGCCTGGCCCAAGCGCCGACCTGGCGACCTGGACCAGGCGCGACCAGGTGGCCTGGACCAGGCACAACCAGGCGGCCTGGCCCAGGCGCCGACCTGGCGACCTGCAAGACGTGCTCGCTGACAAATTCGGCATGCATATCCTAACACTCCCACGATCCTTGGAAGTTGGCCCACGTGCCGAACGATCCAGAGGGTGGTCAACGTGCATGGCGGTTGCCTCAGGGAATCTCGGACCACTTAGACGACTTCTCGGAAATCTCGGATGCGGTGTGTGAAGCCACGCCAAACAATGCCTATATAAAGGTACCAACCCCAATGGCATAGGGGGGCAAGTAAGCATATTCTAGCTCTCATACTTTGTGATTTTTAGCTTGCAGTCTACTATGAGAGTACTGACTTAAGCATCGGAGCGGCCTCGCCGGGCTAGCCACCTCAGGTCCTCTGACATTGATTCCTTGCAGTTTTCTAAAGAACTACGAAGATCAACAATCAATCCAGCTCGCCACCAGGCAATTCGGCCCTCTGGTCAGCTCGGCAACTAATAGGCAGATAGGCCCTCTGGTCAGCTCGGCAACTAATTGGCAGCTCAGCCCTCTTGTCAGCTCGTCACCTAACCTGTCTAGCTCGGCCCAATCAGTTCGGCACCTAACCTGCCCATCTCAGCCCAGTTAACTTGGCCTCTGAGTCATTGGCCACTTGGAAGCAGACCAAATGATGAGGTACTTAGCACAAAAAATTGATACATCACAAAAAATTGATTCATCATATATAAAACTCTAATTTAGATAAAATTTTACATGGATTTACAATCAAATTAAATGCCAACAAAACTGAACCGAAATAGAGTTTTACGTCAATCTTAATTTACACTCCTTCCAAATGCCACCAAAACCAAACCAAACCGAAATGGTATTCACATCAATCAATCTTGATTTACATCACTTCCAAATGCGTAGAAGATTGAAAGCTCATATGACTATTATTGGACCTTACTTCTCTAAAACAAGGCTGATTTAATTTAAAGTGCAGGAACAAACGCAGGGCCACTTCCAAGGGTCCCAATTGATTTGACGAACGGTTGAGATCATTTAGAAGATCCCTACACGTGGCAGATAGGTGGGGTGGGTTAGGAATATACCTACTTTTTCTGAAATCATTTTTCATGGGTCATTGGTAGCTAGATCCTCGTTAAAATGGGCTGCTTGGTTATCAGCTGAAGCCTAATCAAACATACCATCAGGTTTCGGTTCTTGGGCCTAGGCCCAACTGTATTATTTTTGGGCCATTTATTAAAACACTCCCTATAGTCTTATAGATTTATTTAAACCTATATATAGTTTGCATTTTATGAAAATATCCCGTATAATTTGCAACCAATTTACTTAATGAACCCTTTCATTATGAACTATTTGTTTTGTCATATGAAAATAGTAATATGATCACCTAAGGTAGATGAAAAATGTTTAATGGCATGGACCTAAGGTTGTTTATTCCAAAAGTACCCCTAAACTGAGTGGAAAATGTTCGAGTATGGATCCATGATTGTTTATTCTAAAAGTACCCTTAATACTTTTTTGTATAGAAAACAAAATTGACCAAATTGAAAAAATAGAGTGATTGTCCATGTTTTACTAGGGGCAAAAATGGAATTTTTGTTTTTAGTTTATTTTGGTTAAATTTATTTGAATGGATGTTAGTGTTAACATTATCATTTTCAACTTTCATCTAATAAAGGTCGATTAAATAAATTGATTGCAAATTATAGAGGATGATTTAGTAAAAACAAATTATAAAGTAGCTAGGTTTTAGTAAATTCATGAAACTATAGGGATATTTCAGTAAATGATCTTTTTTTGGGTAAGTTCATAAAAACTTTGTGCGTATATCATCTCGTAATCTTTCAATAGAATAGACTCCAGCCAAAGGGGCACTGAAGTTATAGATCTTGTCCGATTCGAGGTGTTCTGAACTGAAGACACAATCAGATAGTCTTGCAAATTGAATGAGGCCAAGGTGGAAGAACGAAGCCACATATTGAAATCTGCAACCAGGAGAAAGGTCAGAGGCCCGAGCAGTTATTCCCCGGATAGGTACTCCGACACTCAAGTCAGTTGAATAGAGAAGAAAGTGGTAAGGCCAAAGAAGTGAGAACAATGCTGGTCTGAGCAGAAGAGATGGTGCAGAAATATTCTCAAAGTGTGTTTTTTCAAAAGTCCTTTATCTCGAGTAGAAATTACCTATTTATAGTTGGATGTCTATATTCTAAATGGATAAGGCTTCTGGAGTTATCGGGATGAGGTCATCCATTAAGGTCCTCGGGATGTTTCATCTTCCCCGACGGAGTCCGCTTCCTCATCCATGTAGGACACTCCTTAGTCGTGATCATCCGTTATACATGATATCAACGTGATTAAAGAGAGAATGCCTGCGAAGACTGTCACGTGACATCGTTGACCAGTTCAACCATGGCCCGAATAGTTATAATATGATGCGCCACCTAATGTCCCACTGAATTTGACAAATGGGTTGAATATATAGTGAGAGTGACTCTAATAAAGTCTGGTTAGTGATTAGAGAGAAGAGAAAGGGTTGTTTATGCGGACCAACATTAAAGCACACCCATGAAAAAAAGAAATTGTCATATGGCCGGTTCAACCTGCTTTACGACTTGATTATGGATCGTAGAAAAAATATGCAAGTATTTGAAGAAAAGGGATGTAAGGTTCAGTTTGGAATCAATTCATGTAAACAAATTCCAAGTATATATACTAACTTTAGAACATGGCAGACCAAATTTTGTAAATCTGAAGGGAAGTTTTCAAGTTACGTTGGAAAGCTCAGGAGGTTCCAATGAAGCTTCTCTCTTGCCATTCTGGCCTCTACTCTCTACCAGCTGATTGTGGGGTTACTAGGCTGTAATCTATTTTCGGTTGAATCAATGTTTTTGGACCACCATTGACCTGGATGGTCAAACTGTTTAGACCCAATCATTAGTCAAAAATCATTGAATTGGTTGACAATCCATTGATTTGGGTGGTCGAATTATCGATCTGCTCGGCCCGTTCAACAGTTTTTAACCATTTTTTAATTTTAATTTCTTTTGTCAAAACAGATCATCCATTAAAACCGTACAGTCGAACCATAAACCCAAAATCCAATGGTTAAAACGGTTCTATTTCCGGATCGATTTTTAAAGCGTTGGATCGAACCTCAGACTAAGGCTTACTCCGATAGGCTTGATTGCTTGAACAACAAGGCAGCCAAACACAAGCACTCAATACATAAATATATTTTACAGTTTTACTTAGATTTACATGGGGAATGATTCGGATACATCCTCTTCTTGAAAATCCACATCGGAAGCCTCCTATTTTATTCTTTTTTATTACAACCAGTTCCAGATAAAGCTTGCAGAGATGTAATTACTAATTATTAGTGTGAATAAGAATATCAACCAGAGCCACATATCACACAACAGCTACAAAATGAGTGAGTCTGATATGTTCATGCAGAAACACGAGAATCAAACAATCTGGACTTACTCTAGATAAGATGAATGCTACTAGTTTATGCAAATGCAACTCTTTGATAGTACATTAATGCTCAAAAGACATGGTGGAACTGGAACCCTTTGAAAGACAAATAAAAGTTAGGAAATAGTCTGGCCCATTTTATTGGTAGGGCGCTGCCCATAAAACCCCATATTCACAGTCTCACAGATAAAAACCTACACGACACGATCAGCCAGACAAAAATTATTCCAATCTATTGAAAATAAAAGGAAACTTCTTCCGGGATTGATGCTAATAATTCCATTATTAGCATCTTGTCCTGGTTTCTATCGCAGAAACTCCATTCAACTTGGGTTGAATGTGAATTTATTAATGTCTCTGTACAACATATTTTAACTAGCTAGCTAGCTAGCTAGGTTCCTTCTTCCTCGTCCCTGTTGGCGACAGATGATCCCAAATCAGATGATTCAAAGGTGACATCAAGGAAGTAAAGCAGGAAAACCAGAACAAAACAGCAGATGATCATGGGTATTGGGCCAAAGATCCAGAGGAATAGAGGGAAGGAGAAGTAGAAGGCACGCAATCCAAGAGACCAGAAATAGCTGCCTCTGTTGACGGCCCGAGCCACATATTCCTGCGTTAGATGGGGATGGATAGGTGAGGAGACCTTTTTGACTGGAACGTTGATAAGGATGCTTGCATGGCTGTAGTACCGAATAGACTGCACATTCAAGAGGAAACCCGCCAAGAAGCATACCAAGATGGAGAAAATCTTGATTGAGAACCAAAGCTCGCTTTTATCACCGAATACCAACTTGGACGGCCTTTCACCGCTGTTGATCATTAACAGCGCGATGAAGGAGCTCAGCATGATTGCCGTCGTTGCCAGCAACGTCGACGCCATTATGTTGTTTCTCAGTGTCTGCACAGCAAGAACGCCGTTCTTGGACGCATCCTATATACCATCCATTCAAAATGTATACATTATTAAGAATTAATTTGCAATTTCTTATGTACAGAAGAAAACACGATTTTACTGATGCGGTGCCTTAGACTTGATTAAGGCATACAATTCTGTTAATAAGGACAAGTCTTTTAGGGGCGTTCCATACTCCTTTTAATTAGGAACACTCCCCTCAACTTTTTCTTTCTCTGGTTTATATTTTCTGTCAAACCAAATACAGGTACAGCGCGCCCCTTCGGATTTAAAATCTCTGCTTCAAGCTAGCAATTAATTCCGGTACATGATATGTTAAAAAATCCCCCACCCACTAGTTGTTCTTCATAAAAGAAAAGGAATAATTTCTTAACAGCCTTTGTGGCAGGGAAGAAATTCTAGTTACTCTCAGGTAGGGCATAAACAATTCGTATCAAGATCACATGGACACTTTGGAGTTTCGACGTTGTACAGATATGAACCAGTCCTAAGCCCCTAATCACTAATGTTAGTCTGGTGGATGCTCAATGAAAACCACATGCCTTGTTAGCTCAATCACTAAAGTGGAGATTGCGATGCTCTGTCTATGGCAAATAAAGAGACTGAGCTAAGATGACAGTGAACTGCTTTCTCTTGCAATGAATCAAAAAATAAGATAAAAAGGGGCAACAATGCAGCTGGTCTGGTCAGAGAATATTTGAAGCAGAGCTGTTTCCTATTTTGCTATACTTTTTTTTGATATTTATAGTTTTATATTGTAAGTTATGCTAAGTTTCCTGCTCCTGGGATTCATGTAAATCTTTCTAAACAGTTAATTTTAGGGAAAATTCCTGATATCCAAATATGAAATACGACAATCTAATACCTACCGTTAATGGACCATCAATTATGTATGTCACATGATCTCATGTGTGATTTAAGACTTTTTAAAATGTCAAAATTACCCTTAAAAATAAAATATAATGTTCATCATCTTCTTCCTCAAGAACAGAAAGCTTGGGCTCTGTTCTTGGAGGTTAGAGGTTTCCTTTTTTGGGTTTTGGTTTAACTGGAATTTTGTGCATCTCCTCTGGTACATCCTTTGTTATGAAAGTTAATCTTTCCTCTCTCAAAAAGAAAAAAAAAAAAATAGTCCACACATATTTACCATTACATATTGTTAGAATAAAAGCCAAAGTGAAAAATAAAAAGAAGGGTAATTGTGGCTGATGCTGACAATCCATCAGATAGGGAACCTAGTGGATTGGGTTAGTTGAAAATGAATCCATAGCCGATCGAGCACAAAAAGAATGCATCGTTAAAGTAAAGTTAGACAAAAATCAATTTGAAACTTCTTTGCACTGTCAAATGATTAAAACTTGTTTCAGACTTAACCCTAATTGTTTGCTACAATTTTGGTACTTTAAAATCCACCTCGAATAAGACTAGAACAGAAATAAATGAATCTCATTAAAAACCAGGCAAAAAATGTATAACTTCAAAAGTATAGAACACTTAGTAGGAAGCACAAATGCAGAAGATCATGAATGGAATGAAACTTACAGGATATAGAGATAGCTGAGAGAATGTTTAGCAGAGTCGAGTTGCTCCAAAATGTTTAGCAGACTTTTGAAAGTATTTTAACCAAGAGCAGAAATAAAACACGCTGATGTAAATTCATACTCACAAAGTCGTTGCAAGTTTTTACCAAGAATAGAAAATTCCAAGTTTTAAACAAATTATTTTTATTTTTTTAACCTAACACAGTAACATTTTATCCCTATAGGTATAGGTAAAAGAGAGGAGAAGAACCGGAAGCTTTATCTTGATACTTAAGAGAGAGACAAAAGAGTTGTCACATGGGTGAAAATTTTGATGGTTGGTTCTGATTTTAGCGGATGATTGATAAATAAAGTTAGGTGACACTTAATGTAGGTACTAAATTATTGTGTCATGTTTCAAAAATTCGAGTACTGAATTGTAGCATTTTAAAATTCGGTGACCAAATTGTCACTCAGTTCAGAGTACTGAATTTCTCTTAATTTTATGCTAGTTTCCTTTGTTAAAAGATTGAAAAAGAAAAAGTATGGACGAGCTCGGGTATATGTTTCTGGCCCATTATTATCATTTCCAGTTTGGCTGGCATCACATCCCAGGCTTGAGAATATATGCCCGGAACCAATGTGGACCTAGGCCAGGCTGCAGGCTGGGCATCCAAGCTCGTCCCCATAAATTAATAAAGCTTTTCTTTGAAGAAATTAGAATTTAAATTTATGCTTATATTCAAAACTACAAATAATTTTAATATACATACATGCATATATGTTACAAGTAAAATATAGATGCATGTTATGGGCTGATCGGGGGAATGCAGACCTGTGCAGAAATGATTTAAATCTAATATCACACCAATCGCAATAGGGAGATGGGTCTTTAAACAAAGCTCTAGGTTGCGAAAGCATACTTTTAAGATACAACAATTGAAAGTGTTTAAGAACATTGAACGGCTTTAATTTTTAATAAAATATCAGATTGAATTTGAAAATGTTTTAAATGTATGTGCTACAATTTATTCTCTTAAATTCTCACATATTAAACAAAAATTCTTGGTTAGATATACAAATATTAGAGTGACAACTTTATCTCAGTGAGCTAATATAAACTTTTCAGCTAGAAGCAAAATAATAATAATAATTTAGATATCAAACTAAAAAAAAAAAAATCCTGTGATGTATAGCTAAACTTTTATAGGACTTGAGAAATTGAACGAACTTGACAAACCTTAAGCTCGGTTTTTACGAGCCCAAGCCTTGGTTGAGGCAGAATTCAGAAATACATGTTGGCTGATCTCTGGGTTTTCTTTTGTATTAATTTCAAGAAAAACAAAAAAGTTAGCGATGAGGGAAAGGAAATGGCCGGAGTACCTCCATCATAGTTCGAACCCAAATGCCCCGGTTGATGGCATTGACACCAAGTACCGTCTTGGTGGGGTGCTTTAAGATCCGATAGAGAAGCCAGATGTGGTAAGCCACCATGACGGAAAGTCCCAACGGAACCATAAAATAGTCGAGAGTTTTACTCTTCATTGCTGCTACAGGAAATTAAGTCCTGATGAAGATGAACGCAGAAGAGCGAGAGAAGCCAAAACAGAGTATGGCTATTTCGTTTGTTGTGATCAGTTGATATCTTCAACCCTTTGAGGTATTTATATTATATTCAGTTGGCAGACGACGTTGAATGTCACAAGTGAGAAAAGAATCTTCTGCAGCAACCGCTCCTTTAATTTGTATCACTAAACCCTTTTCAGGATAGTTTTGGAATTCCTGGCTGACCTCCTATTCTCTCTCTCAGACAGCGAAACTCGCCGTAGAGAATTCGAACTCCTTCGATATTTTTATATTATTTTTTTTTATAAATCATAACTCTTCCATAGTGGATTTTTTAATTATTTTTAAATCATCAATCTCGCATCACACCAACGCACAGAATGAAATAACCACGAGTTGGGTTCATGTATACACGTGTTTTAGGCTCATCTTCCCGCGTCCTGACTATTAGTATTAGATTTCCAGTCTAGAAAGTAATTAATATAAAATACAAACAAAGTTCTTTGTTATTTTCTTAATTGGTAGAGGCTTTAACCATAAGTCAAAGGCATTTTCCTTCTTTTGTACAGTACGTGCAGTAACGTGGACATACACCTGCTGTCTCAATTTACATTAATTGCTCGGCAGAAGTGCTCATACCATGTACCACTTTCAGTACCTTCTCTCCTCATTAAAAGATAAAAGATGCCTCTCATTAAATTATTTTTCTTGTTGTCGGTTTTACAAACAAGTCAACATCATTTACTTTCAAAATATATAATGGGTTTTAAAATATCTTTTCATCTGATTATTTAATATTATGTTTTATAAATTATATATTTAAAAATTTGCTTATATTTTGAAAATCATTATTTTTTTCCAAAAATATATACTGTTTTTTTTTAAACAAAACCTACTCGTTTTTTCTTTTGAAAATAAAAACAGAATTTAGGCTCCGTTTGTTTGTGATATAAACACTGAATCGGGGTATTTATGTATCCCAATTTGTGTGTGCGAGCGTTTATTTGATATGTAAAAAAGTAATGATTATCAGAGCAAAAATGTATTTTCCGACACTTTTGTTTTCTGAGAAGAGAGAATTATTGTACTTATTTTTTAGATATAATTTTATGTTTTTTGATAATTAACTTTTTGATCAAAGTTAAGGCATTGGAGTATAATAAGATAGTTGGAGCATTCGATGATAGGCCCATACTTTTGCACCATTGCAAACAAACAAAATAAATGCAAAAATGGCCCGACCTCGCAAATATTGTTAATAATTAGCAAATATATTTTTTATACCAAATACATTTTTATTAATAATTACTGATGAAAGAAGATTTGGCCCGACCTCGCAACCACTCAACACGTGGCAGAGGCACCAGCTCGGCACGACGGTACGCCCCAGGCGCGAGCTCCAAAAGGAGGAACCAGCGGTCCGAGGTCCCCAAAAGGAGCCCGAACTCTCCCTTTGACCCCAAACCTTACGAGGAGCGCAGAGGGCAACAACCCGAACTAGCCCGCCCCAGGGCAGTTCGGGCCACACCTCTATCCGAACTCAAGACTTCACCTCGCACACCACTCCAGCACTTCGTCTCCAGGTCACCGAACTGAACAACCGTACCGTACCTGACACCAAAGGAGTCCATATCCTGAGGCGGCGCACCTAACTGACTTAGGATCTGACGCTTGACAGCCGCACTTCAACGGCCACCTGCCACCGCCACCTCCAGTTATACAGACGGCTCCGACATAGAGAGCAGTGGCGGTTCTGCCTCAGCAGGGGTGATGACACCCGAACTAGCAGAAGTGCAGAGGTAATGATACCCGACCTGACAGGAGCTTGGGAGTGAGTGCGCAAAGTGGCTATAAAAGGCCCCCTTCCCCTCAAGAAGAGAGGTATGTGATAATTTTGCGCCATCTGGTTTTTTATCTTGCCTTCGAGGAAATACTAACTTGAGCTTCAGAGCACTCTCACCGGGTTCTTCCCCGGAGATTACTCGCTTTCTCCTCTGTTTCAAGCACCTTTTGCTCCAGCCCGAGGAAAGATCGTTGATAGCTAGGACCGGCCGGATTGCGCACCATCAATTGGCGCCGTCTGTGGGAAACGCTTCTAAAAGCCTCCCTCTAAAACTCTCATAACCCCTTTTTCCAAGAAACCCCAACACTCATGGCTTCTTCCAACAATGTCGGACGTAGCACGGAGATGAACGCCCCCGAGGAGCAACTTCAAGTCCCCGTGGTGTGCATTGGACAGTTCACCATCCCCATTTCGGTGGATGGGATCCCCAGCCTGAATGCGCCACGAAAAGTGGCACCCGTGAACCTTCCCGCCGTGAACGTCCCCCTTCCTCTCTCTATCGAGACAACATTTACCGAACCAACTGCTGTCCCCCTGGCGACTAGCCAGAACCAGTTTGATGACTTGATGCAGTGCATGCGGGCAATGCAAGCCCAAATGCAGCAGTTCCAACGGCATCAGCTTCAGCAGCACCAAGTACTGCACCACATCTTTCAGTATCACTATCAGCAGCAGTTCCCCCAACTGCCTCCTCTGAACCAATCACAGCTTCCACCTCGGCACCCTGCTCCAAAGCCAGTTAAGCCCTCCCCTTAGGGCGGACGCCATCACCGAGGAGAAGCCTCCCAACTTCAGAA